CCCCAAAACCCCAAAACCCCAAAACCCCAAAACCCCTCCTTAATTGAGTAATATTGAGTTTTGCTTAGTTAACATTCATTATAACTTATACCCTGAGTGGATAGAGCAGATACCTCCAGACAGATTCTCATAAGTCACATGCTTGAATCCAGCCTCTTTTATAAGAGAAGCAAACTGGTCTTGGTTAGGGAATTTGCGAATACTTTCTGCCAAATACTGATAACTAGCACTGTCGTTTAAGATAATTTGTCCCATAAATGGGATGATGTTCATGGAATAGACATCATAGATTTCTTTCCAGACAGGAATCTTAACCTCTGAGAATTCAAGGCACATAAATCTTCCTCCTCTTCTTAAAATTCTGTGAGCCTCTTTCAATGCTTTTAAACGATCGGTGACATTTCTAATTCCAAAAGAAATTGTGTAAAGATCAAAACTGTCATTCTTAAGTGAAGGGATAGACTCTGCATTGGCTTCTAGCCAGTTGAAGTTAGTATATCCTCTCTCCTTTGCTCTATCCATCCCAACTCCAAGCATTGAAGAATTGATATCAGAAATAGTGATTTCAGCAGCTGCATTTGCATTAGTTCTTCTTTGCTTTTGGACTTCTTCATGCATTAAAAATGCAATATCTCCTGTTCCACCAGCAACGTCAAGTATTTTCATTGGCTCGTACTCCTCTGTTGGATTTCCTTCAGCATCAATGACAGGTCTTTTCCTCATAGGCCCTATCTGGCTGACGAAATAGTTTTTCCAAAGCCTATGGATACCAATACTGGTGACATCATTCATTAAATCATAGTTATTAGCTACTTTGTGAAACACTTCTTTAACCCTGTCTTCTTTCTCATCAAAATTAATGTCTTCGTAGCCGAAATCTACTTTTTGTTTCTTTCCAGATGAACAAAAAGCTCTGCTGCCTCTTACAATTCCCTAAAGAGGTTAGACCAATGCTCTATTAAACTCTAAGTCTTCAAGCCTACCTTCTGCATACGCATGAACATCATACTTCTTGAAATCATTGGTAAAGTTAATTTTTATAATTTTCAAGAAAGTTTGGCAAGAAAGGGGTTTTGGGGTTTTGGGGTTTTGGGG